AATAAATAAAAGTTCTTTACAACAAAAAAGTTTAACGAACATATTACATTAAAAGAAAATCATTACCAAATTTGGTCACACTTCTGAGCATAACTTTCAAATTTAAAAAATCTATGAAAAAGAAAATTTGAGACAAATTTTTTTTTAGATTGATAGACTCCCTAATGGTGGCGAGTTTTTAAAATCCAATGTGTGGAACACATAATATTTTAACTTTTGAGTATAGATGATCCGCACTGTATACCAAAGTACCTTAAAATTATATAGTCACACAACTTAAATTTGAGATCGTCACAAAGTGATAAATGTGATAATCGAACTTCCATCATGCTGATTTTTTTGTTAGTATTAGTATTAGTAAAATATTAACCCCGTTTTTTATCATTAAAAAATGTACCGATCATCTATTTCTATCATGTGTATATCACGAATTAAGTTTGCATTTTTGGATGCTTTCAAATGCTTTTAATGAATTTTGCTATAACACAATATATTACTTTTGTAGAGATGACAATTCTGGATCCCGTGATCACTTAAATTTTAATAAGTTTAAATTTCTATTGTTAATATTGACGAGCACTTAATCTTTGTTCTTTTGAATAATATAATTAGAATTATTATTTTAAAATCATTAATTATCTAAAGCATTAAATGGAATATGAATATATTTATTTATTGTAATTAAATTTATATAATAATATAAGTAGTTAATAATGATTTTTTTCTTATTAATATCACTGCTATTAATACTATGTACTACTAATACATTACTATAACGCCTTTTCTTTTCAATAGATCTATGGTAAGAATGGTTACACGACTATTATTATTATTTCACAGAGAAATTATTGTATTAGCAGTAAATGTTTGTAAAGATGCACAGCTTTAGTTAATAAAGATAAACTCTGCACTTTGCCAGTGATAGAAATTCAACATCAAAATATTCTAATTGATATTAATACTACTACTATCAGTAATAAATGATTAAAGGGTATGTATATATAGCATTGCATCTTCCAAAAAAAAAAAGGATTAGTGTACAACCCAGAAAGAATTGTTACGCGACCATTATTATTATTATTATTATTAAAACAAAAAATTTATTATCATTATTGGAAAAGTAGAAATTTTTTTAAATTAGTTATCGAATAACACTAATCGAATTGATTAACTGGTTAAAACGGTCAATGATGCCGATATCTAATTTTTTCTATGATAAGATCCGATTCTTCATATCTTAGAATCTCGATCATTCATTAACTTGCCATTTACAGATAGCGCGGGCTTAAATATGATTGGTTAATCGACAGGGTTGAATTTCTTATATTATTAATAATCCCTATTTAAAATTTTCGATCATTTGGCTTTGCAACCACCAAAAGGTTTTTGTACCCAATAATATTATAAAGTCTAGTTTAGTATAGTACCAAAATAATCCGAGAAATGGAGAAGTTAGATGAGAAATGTTTTCAAACATTTAAAGAAAGTAAATATATTTTTTATTATTCATTTCTCATTAAACTTTTTTCTTGTTAAAACAATTCGACAATTAGTAGACCAGGTACATTTATAAAAATTAATATTAATATAATTCTTACACTTGAAAAAACATTTTATAGCTCTACAGTACAAGGAATAATTGCAACATATTTGAATCTACTAGGCCAAAAGAAGGTATGGATATTATTATCTTCATCATAATAGTATGTTACTAGCTAATGGCGAGTATGTTGAATGAACAAATATCTTGTTAACAATGTAATGTATGAAATTCTTCATTAAGCGAAAAGAATTAATGGTGTGATTTTATGCTGCATAATCTAGGGAATGAATGTTAGAAGGCGCAAAGTTCAATGCGAGGGATATACTTTCCCCCCTCAAGTTTGTCATTTAGAGATTATTTTGATATAGAGGTATTTGTGTTGCTTCAAACTATAGATGCATTTTTATGATGGTGGTAGAAGTTTTCAATCTAGCGTTTTGATGAATTGAACATATAAAATACTGCCAGTGGATTCTTATAAAATCATCCAATCACAGAAAAAAACCCATGATTATTTTTTAGAAATCAAGACATCGTACTTGAGTTTATTTTTGTAACAGGAGTTTATCCTCCTTGAACCAGAATCAATGTCTCAATTTCCATTTCAACAATTGACCAAATTTCACGTTTAATGATTCAATTCATAATCTTTTCCCTGAACCAGCCCATTATCAGGTTTACAGCCTTAGCATAAACCATTCAATATTGAGGAATTACTTTGAATGTTTTGGATAAATTCTGATAGTGAATGAATGAATTTCTAATTGACTTTGTATTGTTATTCATCCTTTTGCTGGCATTCAGTTATCATTCTCTAGTCTATGTGTCTCAACAGGCCTTTATATTGTCACATATCAAATTACAAGTAAGAAGTATAGTCATTAATATGGCTATCATCACTAATTACTACAAAAATTTGGATGTTGTTGATTGATTTTGGAATCTGCTATATTCATTTCCATATTTATTATTAATTTATTTAAATAGTAAAACAATAAAGGTATTTAAAACAATATATATATTACAATAGCATTATAAAAATAGAAATATACAGTACCAGCTCTTGAATCACCACCGATCAATTAAAATATTCAATCGTTCCACATATCTCTATACAAGTACTTCAAGCCTCATTCATTTTGGGTTTTGTATAACATAAAATCCTGCCTCTGGTGAAATTTTATTATAAAAAAATCAAAATGATGATTTAAAAATAACACATTAAAACTATTTTTATATAAAAAAAAAAAATACTAAATGACCTTTAATCATTGAAAATATTTTCATTTAAAAATTTTTTTTTTGCCATCTCTCAAAATTCTATTATAATAACATAAAATGATTTAATTAAAGAACCACCTGTAAAAATCTCAAGGCAATTAAACAACTTTGATTTCAGTTTTAAGTATTAAAAGTGTACTTGCTACAAAACATTGTACTTGTTATATTACTTCAAATTCCAAATTCTTTTTCTGTATTGTATAAGAAAAGTAGTTCTTTATTTTTTTATCATCATGACATAAACTAATGGGTTATTTTTGAATTGCCCAAAAAAAAAGTGCGAAGTTTTTTGTTTTTGTAAAATTATTTAGAACCGACATATAATAATAAATAAATAATAAATTCTAATAAAATAAAACACATTAATAATAAAGTATTTATCTATTTTTCTATTTTAATAATGGTTTGGTCATATGAGCCAAGTTTTTATTGTACGATTCTATCACTACTATTAAATTCGTGCAACACCCGTATTTGTCCGCTGATTATGAAAATTATCTAAATTTTATATATATTAGAAAAATTTGAAATGTATAAAAAATTAGAGCAAGATAAAAATAGTAAGCAATATTAACATTAATATTGGTAATATTGGTAATAATAAAAATACAGAAAATAGACTGTGTGGCATTTATCACTAAGACCCTGAAATTAATTTGCAAGTATACCCCATATAAAACGCGATTTTTTTCGTGAAACATTTATTTTCCTATTACGTTTCTATTTATTAATAAAAGGTTTGTTGATCTTGCATAAATTTATTTGTTGTGTACATATAGACATAAATTCCTATTTTTCATTCAAACGAACCCTTTAGAAAACTTTTATTTTTATTTTTATTTTTTTTTTTACCGGTAAAAACATACATACATATATATATAAATATTTATTTAAATTTTATTATTTTCATCTAACAATTTCTTCTCCTCTAACTTTTCTTAACCCGTCGTCAATAATAAATAAAATAGACTTTCTAAACAAACTAGATTTAAATTAGAGATTTTTTTTTTTAAAAAAAAAGAAAGATGATAAAGATTTGGTCAATCAAGAAGGATAATTCAGCAGCAGAGAAAAAGAAACCTAAAGTTAGTGCCGCTCAAATTCGCATTCAAAAAGGTATTTATTAATTAATTAATTAATATTATATTGTAAGATTGATAATGGCGTCTACAATTGGAAAAAAAAACTCTGTTTAGTTAATTAGATCTTGTTTAAAAGTGTTAACCAAATACAAAAACCAAAAGAATTTTTTTTTCCTAGCATATATATATAAGTATAATATTTAAATCTATATGTATATTTGTATATTTTCATATATACAGATTTAACAGAATTGGCACTTCCGGAAACTATGCAAATGAATTTCCCGGACGATTCAGATCTTCTTAATTTCAATTTAACGATAAAGCCTGATGAAGGTAATATATTAATATATTAATAAATGGGTATGGGTATGAACATATATGTGTTTATGATGTATATTTACAATATTTATAATCATAATTATATATATGTGTGTATGTATATAAAAGGATTTTATCGAGGCGGCGTTTTTAGATTTACTTTTAATATAAACAATAATTATCCTCATGATCCACCAAAAGTCCATTGTACTCAAAAGGTAAATTAATAAAATTAATAATAATAATAAATCAAATTTTCAGATGATTTGATTAAACATGTAATATATAATATATGTATATAATATAAAATAGATTTATCACCCTAATATTGATCTTGATGGCAATGTATGTCTAAATATTCTTCGTGAAGATTGGAAACCTGTTTTAAATTTGAATTCTGTATTGGTTGGATTGCAGTACCTATTCTTGGAACCAAATGCCGATGATCCTCTTAACAAAGGTAAGTAACAAACGAACAAGAAAATCATTATTATTAGTTTTTAATTGTCAATATAAATATATATAAAATATATTTTAACAAATATATTTATATTATTATTTTTAATTGCGTGGTGGAAAATAAAAGATGCTGCTGAAGATTTGAGATCAAACAGGAAAAATTTTGAATATAATGTCAAACAATCAATGAGAGGCAAAGATGTTAAAGGAATTATCTTCGATAATGTACATTGATCGCTGACCAGAATTATGTATAAAAATTAAAATTAAATTTTATGTAATTTTAATAAAAGATAAACAAAATTTGAATTCTATTTGCATACTTAAAATCACTCTCATTGATTGTTTATTGTCTAATAACCTCTACTCAACATTGTATAATTTAAAACTAGACATTCATTTTTTTTTTGGTTTTTTTTTTGTTCACAAAATCGTTTTACTATGATTATAAAAATTACATTAAAAAACCTTTAAAATAATAATTGAATAAATATAAAAAGTCTAAGCGCCTTAAATGAAAGAGCAAGTCAGGCATTCATTCAATGCTATTTTTACGTCTGTAGCTAAAAATTGGTAGTCTTTGAAAGTCTCTCAAAATACAGTCATACATACTTCCTTCCATATAAGAACACCTTAGGAACTAATTACTTTTAAGCTTTATAGAACAACTTCTCTTAACATTTTTAGAAAAAGAGGTCCGCCGATCAATCATGAGATATGAAAAAATTAGTGCAATTATTATTTGGACTCTAAATTACATTGTGGAATTCATGATGGTATTAAACTTCCAAAAAATAGCATAATGGTCATTCGCTTATCACATTGTGACTTTGATTTCATTGGCTAAATTTTACGATGATCACCCTCCAAAAAATCAAATTTTATTATTGGCTTGAAGATCTTTTACAAAAACAAAATTTATAATTTTTATATATGGGGCATGCTGCAACAAAACCAGACAAAGTGAACATTGGTATTACCAAATATTTCAGGGTCAAAATTTAGTAACATGATTATTAAAATCTTCCTCTTAATATTAGGTGATATATAGAATTACCTCTATATAAAAATAGTTAATATGAAGTTAATTTACATCAGATCTACTATGGAACCCAAGA